CGTGACTAGCCAGTGCGTAAGCTGTGCAGTGCAGGCAGAGACCCTGTAGGCGCTCAGGGGCCCTGCAGAGGCGGGCGGCGTCTCTGGTCACCACCGAGCACTTCACGCTGTGCCCCCAGCGCCGTGCGTCCCCAAGGCAGCGTGGCCCACGTCTGTGTGTCGCTTCCTCTCCCCAGAGCCGGGAGCTGCATCCTTTATCGCAGGCTGGGCCGGTCGCCTGCCCCGGTCACTGCTGACCGGCTTCTGTCCGCGCCTTTCCCTCCCGCCACTCGCTTGCCTGACTACCTTCCCAGCCCTCGGGGGCGGGGCTCTGCCTCCCTGTTTAGCTCTCTGGCAGCGGCCAGCCAGTCTGATCGGGTCCCTTCCCTGCTGGCGGTCCCAGGGAACCAGAACCCCCAAATAAATGCACAAGGGTTCCGCGAGGCCCTTGCCCAGCGTGCACCCCCCGCCCCCCGCACAGGGCGCTCTCAGCGTGTCTCGCACCCCTCCGCTCGTGCCTCGGTCTCCCACCGCGCTGCCTCCTGCTGTCTAGCTGGCCGCCCCCTCCTGGCAGGGCGGCTTTCCCCGACGCAGGCCGCTGGGGCCCCCGCGGCGGCCGTGGCGGGCTCATGCTCCCCGGGGGACCCGTGGGCGGCCCTGCTGCCAGACAGGCGCCCTCTCCGTGAACCAGCTTCCCCGGCCGAGCCCCGGGCGCCTCCCTGGGAAATGCGGCTCCTCCACGCCGCCCGCAGGGGTGCTTCTGGGGTCTGGCTGGGCTGAGCGCCAAGCCCAGGCAGGCAGGCAGGCAGCGGCCGGCACGGAGCTGGCCCCACTGCGGCCGGGTCCCTGAGTCGTCGTAGGTGTCAAAGCCCGCAGCCGAAGTGTTAAGCTAGAGGCGAGGGCTGCTTGAGGGTGCACCCTCAGAGGGTGATTCTGGGGGGCCTCCCCGGTTCAGTTCACGCCACCGGGAATGCTTCTAAAGGCACAAATCTGTTATTTTGGTCTGAAAAGTAGGGAGGAGGAGGAAAGTTTTGGGGGTCCCCCACGCCCCCAGAAATAGCCCAGCCGTGGCCTACATCTGACCGCTCGAGGGGCTCAGCGAGCACCCAGTTCCCGTGACGCTCCAGTGGCAGGTTTTCTGGGAGGACGGGAGGAGCTCTGCAAGGGGAGCGCTCCCTGCCTCTTTCGGGGTCACCCGGAGCTGGGCTTCCGCTGCAGGCTGCAGAAGGCCTCCCCCTGGGTGGGCAGACGGCGCGGGCGGCAGGGCCGTGTCCACCAGCGACCCAGACGGGGGCGCTCCAGCTGCCGCGGGCCCGTGTGGCCGGAGGCATGGACACGGCATGTGCATGCGTACACACACCCGTGCGCACCCGTGCATGTGAGCGCGTGCATGTGCGTACGTGCACGTGTGTGCTCTGGTGTGGTGCACCTGTGCATGTGTGTGCATACACATGCACACGTGCGCGTGAGTGCACATGTGCATGTGTGCACATGCGCGCGTGTGCGCACGCGTGAGTGCGTGTGTGCATGCGTGCGTCTGTGCATGCACGTGCATGCGTATGTGTGCATGCGCGAGTGCATGTGTGCACGCATGTGTGCGCACGTGTGTGAGGGTGTGCGTGAGTGTGTGCGTGTATGTGCATGCGTGTGTGGGTGTGTGCGCATTGCGCACGTGCGTGTGTGCATGCGTGCGTGTGTGCGTGTGCGCATGTGTGTGTGTGTTTTGTTTTGCGTGTGTGTGTGTGCGCACGTGTGTGCGGGTGTGCGTGTATGCATGTGCGCGTATGTGCATGAGTGTGGGTGTGCGTGTGCGGTGCATATGTACGTGTGCGCGTGTGTGCATATGCGCGGGTGTGCATTGCATTGCGCATGTGCGTGCGTGCATGTGCGTGCGTGTGTGGGTGTGCGTGTGCGTGTATGCATGTGCGCGTATGTGCATGAGTGTGGGTTTGCGTGCGGTGCATATGTACGTGTGTGCGTGTGTGCATATGCGCGGGTGTGCATTGCATTGCGCATGTGCGTGCGTGCATGTGCGTGCGTGTGTGGGTGTGCGTGTGCATTGCATATGTGCGTGTGCGTGCGCGCCCGCGCAGACCCAGCCTGGTGGAGCCCGCCCGACGCGCAGCCGGGCCGCACACCTGTTGTCCCTTCAGCACGAGGCGCACAGCAGGCGGTGT